TCTCAACCTTTTTTTTTTTTTTGGTGAAAATATACACAGCCAAAGATACACCATTTCAAAAATTTCTCCCTCACTCGGCTGTCAATTTGTTATACTGTGGTAAGCTTGCATGTTGCTGTGATGCTGGAAGCTATGCCACTGGTATTTCAAATATCAGCAAGGTCACCTATGGTGGACAGGTTTCAGTGGAACTTTCAAACTAAGAAATACTAGGAAGAAGGACTTGGCAGTCTACTTCTGAAAAAATTGGCTAGTGAAAATCTTATGAACAGCAGCGGAACATTGTCTGATACAGTGCTGGAAGGGGAACCCCTCAGGTTGCAAGGCACTGAAAATACAACTGGGGAAGAGCTGTCTCCTCAAAGTAGAATCGACCTTAATGGTGCTAATGGAGAAAAGCTTTTGGGACCTTCACTTGCTGATGTGGAACGACTCAAAATGAGAAGAAACAAGTGCAAACATTCATTAATAATCAGACTGTGGAATGTAGAAAGTATGAATCTAGGAAAATTGGAAGTCATCAAAAATGAAATGGAACCCCTGAAGACAGATATCCTAGGCATTAGTGAGCTGAAATGGATGGGTATTGGCCATTTTGAATCAGACAATCATATGGTCTACTATGCTGAGAACGACAAATTGAAGAGGAATGGTGTCACATTCATTGTCAAAAGGAACATTTCAAGATCTATCCTGAAGTACAATGCTGTCAGTGATAGGATAATATCCATACGCCTACAAGGAAGATCAGTTAATATGACTATTACTCAAATTTATGCACCAACCATTAATGCCAAAGATGAAGATATTGAAGATTTTTACCAACTTCTGTAGTCTGAAATTTATCTAACATGTAATCAAGATGCACTGATAATTACTGGTGATTGGAATTTCAAAGTTGGAAACAAAGAAGGATCAGTAGTTGGAAAATGTGGTCTTGGTGATAGAAGTGATGCCGGAAATTGTATGACAGAATTTTCCAAGACCAATAACATCTTCTTTGCAAATGCCTTTTTTCAACAACATAAATGGTGACTATACACATAGCGGAAACCCTGGTGGCAGCTACGGCTATGAACCAAAAGGTCAGCAGTTCGAATCCACCAGGCGCTCCTTGGGAACTGTACGGGGCAGTTCTACTCTGTCCCATAGGGTTGCTATGAGTCGGAATCAACAGCAATGGGCTTGGGCTTGGGCTATAGGGTCACTATGTGTCAGAATTGACTCGACAGCAAAGAGATTTTTTTTTTTTTGGTATCTATGCATTAGCCATGCTGAGGGGGAGTTAATAAAACTACTGGAGAAATGGATACATGGTGATTAACTGTGCCTAGTTTAGTAACAGGCATTAATATGAGCAAGAAAGCTAAACTATTTCTTAACTGAAAAGTCTCTTTTAGAAAACGAAAATTTAATTTTCTTCTGCTGCCATGTTCAATTTCTCAGTGGACAGGACCTAGAGGCCATATTTTTCTAGTGAATATGGTTGATTTAGAATATGTAATACTTATTAAGCATTCATTTAAAATACTACTAAAATACTCCTAAACACCTTTGCATCTGTACAGAAATGAAACATTTGGATATGCTGTACTTAATTCATGGAACTTCATAAGAGAAACGTTAACATTGTACTGAATTCTTGTATTATCAAAATGCATTTCCTAAAAACTGAAAGTAAAAAAAAATTAATGACAAAAGGTCACTAGATGAGAGTGAACATGAAGTAAATATTTTAGAAGTTTAGGAGTGATTTAGATCGCAATTTAAATTTAATTATTAATGTTCAAAAGTAAATTTTTTTAGAGTTAAGGTGTGTTGTTTACATATCAAGTATACAGAAATCAATTAACATGTAAAACAAAAATGTGGCTTTATTTGTTATTTACTGCTTAACTTTCCTTAAGTATAGACTTACAGTGGAATCTTCCCATAAATTTACTGTCACAGAAAGTTATGCAAGTTAAATATCTTAGCAAAAAAAAAAAAAAAAAAATTATGGTTACCTTAATTTTTTTAAGTAGACTAAGAACTGTATCACTATACATTAAGTATGATTATATATTATGAATATAGAACATGTTGTTGTTAGGTGTCATTCAGTCAGTTCCAACTCATAGAGATCCAATGTACAACAGAACGAAACACTGCCCAGTGCTATGCCATCTGCACAATCCTTGCTATGCTTGAGCCCATTGTTACAGCCACTGTGTCAATCCATCTCATTAAGGGTCTTTCTCTTTTTCGCTGACCCTCTACTTTACCAAGCATGATATCCTTCTCCAGGAACTTGTCCCTCCTGATAACATGTTCAAAGTACGTGAGATGAAGTCTCACCAGCCTCACTTCCAAGACGTACTCTGGCTGTATTTCTTCCAAAAGAGATTTGTTCGTTCTTCTGTCAGTCCATGGTACATTCAGTATTCTTCTCCATCACTATAATTCAAAGGCATCAATTCTTCTTCGGTCTTCCTTATGCATTGTCCAGCTTTTGCATGCATATGAGGTGACTGAAAACATGACCTAATGTATATTTTCCAGCTGAAAATGTCTACATTCCCAAATAGATCTCCTTCATCAACATGAGAATACTACCAGCTAAGTGTTTCAGAAAATAGGCATTTATATTAAACGTACATTTTAAATGATAACTCCTCAAATTAGAATAAATAATAATGAGCTAATGAGTCTTCAATAATTCAGTTTTAATACTGATGTCTTATTGATCACCTTTCAATGCTTATATTAATTAAATATACTTGCATAGTTTTCTTAATATGGAAAGAGTGTTAGAACTGTATATCTATATACACACACATATACATTTACTTGTTGCTTATTTGTGTGTATTGTTTAATAACCTAAACTTTACATGTTATGTTTATAAATGCGTGGATGTGTTTACACATGGAGTTGCCATTAGTTGCAATCGACTTGATGGCCACTGGTTATGTTTATTGGTCTAGCGTCCATCTAGGTTTTAAGTTATTGAGGGGACAGAATAAATACCTTTAGTAAGGTTCAGTTTCAAAAATATTTATTTTATCTCTATGAGGAAGGGAACAGACTGTACCTTAGAAAAACTTACAGAAGGAAAACGAGACCCACAAAAAGGCAATGGCATTGTGGGATGGTAATAGATAATAATAGGGAGGTGCATAAGTGAGGGTCACTTGCTCCACTGGGCAGTTCATGGAAGGCTTTCTAGAAGAACTAATGCCAGAGCTGTAGGCTGCAAGCTAAGTAAACAATATATAGCAAAGAAATGTGAGGAGGGCATTTTAGGCCAACATAAGAACATAGAGAGTCAAAGCCATAGTATATATGGTGTAACTACACACGCTTGGATAGTACACATTACAAAATGCCTGATGTAGTGAGTATCTAGAGATGGGGTTGAGGAAGTGGATAGTGGCCAGGACATCAAGACCCTGCATGGATTTCATTCCTTCAGTCAAAGGGAGGATTTTAAGCAGAGTTGCTTTTTCCTGCTTATTTATATTTGCGTTTCGGCATCTAGCACAGTGACTGGCTTACAGTTCTTCCAAAATGTTAGAGATTATTTTCTCTCCCGCCATAATCAACTTTAAATATTAATGAAATATATAAAAGACTTTCCATGCAAATGATATTCAGAGGCAATCTGTTGAAAAATCTTCTAAAACAAACATAAGAATATCAAAGCACATCTGAAACTAGGTCTTGGTAAGTAGTACTGAATGAAGCAGTAAGTGAGCAAGTGTCTTTGGCAGGATTGTATGGGTATGAAAGAATACTTAAAAAAGAAGAAGTAAAAGAAGATGAGGAGGAGGAGGAAGAGGAAGGAGAACAAAAAGACGATGAAAAAGAAGAGTAGGAGGAAGATGAGAGTAGCATAAAATTTAAAATTCAAAAACAGTGGCAAGAGTTTTTCTGGGTTAGAACCTTCATTGTTATTCCCATCCCCCAACCCTCAACGCCCATGCTCTAACGGGAGTCACATGGGAGCTTCTCACCTGGGCAAGTACACTTCCACTTTTTGCTTCTTTACAGAGTTTGCCCATTCTTCAATCAGCTGTGCTTTGACCAATGGTTCCAGGGTAGCCAGTGGGACTTCCTGTCTGGACAGTACCAGTATCATACTTATCTCATCTCCCTCATATGGTATTTCTAGGACTTGGTAGATACCACCAGCTTCATTGGAGCCATCACTAAATTCCCCTAAAAAGGAAAGGTAAGGCCATAAAAAAACCCACATCAAAGCTTTAAAAAAAAGATTAAATTTGTTATACCTTTTTTTCTCCAAAATAGTGTATAGAATTTGAGAAATTCAGACATCTAAGAAAAAGAGAGTTTATTTGAAAACAGGCCCTGGAATTTAAGTGAACCCTTGATGTTGCAGAAATTTTTTTTTTTACTTTAGAATTCCCAGAATTATTTCCCAGTTTTCAGAACATGTTCTGTAGACTTGCTTTTCATTTTTAAGTGACATAATTCAAATGGATTTATACTTAATGGATATCATTTCATTAGAAACAATGAAACGTCCTGGTTAGAAAAACAAAGCCCTGGCTCCAAGCTGGATGTAAATTGCATTTACCCACCTGATTTCTAAGAAGGGAAAACTGATCATGTAGCACCTAATACTATATTATTACCACAGCTACAAGTTTTGAGGCCAAGGTTGTACAACCAAAATGAAATCTAAGCATTCAACAATAGTTATCTGGTGTATTCGTGATTGTTAAGACCTCCACATTAGGTGACTAGGTAAATTAGAGAATTGGCTCTATGAACTTTGCCAAACTGACTTGTCTTTTATAAATAAAAAAATTAAAGAAGTCTTTAAAACAAATGACTCTGTCACTACGTTAAAGTTTTTACATTTTCAAAAATAAACGTAATGCTTTTCTTATGAATATATTCAAATAACTGATCTATGGTCTTTAGACATCACACTAAACATTTTGGTTCTATTTTCCTTTCTTTCTTACTGCGATTATAATCTTTCAATTTTATAATACACTTTTAAATAGAATAAACTATTAGTTGTAACATATATTGGCTTAAAATTATATTTCTGCTTACAAATTAAAAAAAAATGTATATTCATTATAGTATCTAGGAAGAAATAACACTGTAAACATGAAAAATCCAATGAAACATCTTTGAAAATAATGCCACAAATATTGAGTTGTATCAAAAAATATAGACTCTCAATAAATGAAAATCTGAATAAACAATTAAGCCTGGCCATACATAGACAAGTCTGAAAGAAAAATTTTAAAGGAAAGAAAAGCCCTTGTAATAGAAGAATTTTAGTAATTCAAAAGTTGTGAGGAGACCAAATCAGGTGCTTGATGGACCTGAAAACCATACAAAAGCCAAAGACTTTTGGAGTAACTCAGAAAGTTCCTGTACAATGTCAGGTATTTTATTGTAAATAAAACCACTCAGTAGGTGTGATCAAGTTTATAGATTAATGATACATATTGGGAAACTATAAATGCATATAATATTTACTCAGAATCTAATTAAAGGCCTTCAAAAATTGAGTCAAGGAAATTGAATTGTAGCCCAATTTAGACTGACAAGCAGTTTGAGTAATGACTATTTCATGTTTTCTTAGAAATTTGTTAATATATTATAAAAAGAGGAAAATAAAAACAAGATTTCTTACCATAATAAAATTCTCCTTGTTGATACATCATTGGGATCTGGACTTCACTTTCATCATCTTTCGTGAAGGAAAACGTTCTAGTATTTTCAGGTCTAAACTGTGACTTCCAGTTCCCTTTGAAGTAGACAGCATTGATAAGGGCCAGATGAGTGACAGCATCAAAATCCCTTGGGGATACCAAACCTTTCAACAGATCTATCCAGGAAAAAAAAGAGCAGATAAAAATTCACATTAAATTGGAAGGTTAAGAGTGACCAACAGGTTATCAAACTACCATCTGATAGGGTGGTCCAGAAAAAATGCATGCCACTGATGAATTTACAATAGAAATGAAAGGTATCATATTTTAAAGAAAAAAGTAATATTGCTGAAAGATTTTATGTGTGCGTGTTAAAGATTAAGGGCACCCCAAACGCCTATACTATGCTAATACTAGCAGCATCTCGACACTTTCGCGCAAACTACAGAACCACATGCAATGCAGAATCTCGGGCTTCACCACTTTTTATTTGGCATGATGCATGTAAACCTCTTAACACAGAGCACTCAATAAATGTTTCTAAGTATGATTAAATGTCATCCAATTCAAATTTTTCCCCATGTATATTGGAAATCTTTCCACCAAATATGACAAACTGCTTTTGACTAGGTGAAAACAGATGAGTGAAAGCCAATTTCACATATGATATGTTATTTTCTATCATTTTAAATTCTCTTTCCAAATCTATTTTGAAAGAGATTGGATCTTTACTGTTTGCCAAAAGTGTCTAAAAGACTTTGGAAACAAACAGCTTTTAATAATTCAATGTATTTCAGGTGGATTTTTAGTCTTATATGTAAAAAAATAAACATAAGTTTCTTTTTATCCTACATTTCGATCTTATATTGAAAAACATAGGACCAAAATTTGCCCTGTATTCTCTCATTTCATTAATCATAGCACTTTGTAAGACAGAAGGTCCTTCAGCATTTTGGGAAGTATAGAACATAGGGTAGCTGATCAGGTTTTTTCCATCATAAAATTTATTAAATTAACATTATTTTGGGATTTGACAATATGACAACTTAATGGGAAGCCATAGTAACCTACTTTCAATTTAGCCTAGTTTTTGAGATTCTAATTTCAATTACTTGGCTGGTAAAACTGGAAAATAGAATTGTGGAATACGAAGCATTTGGAAGCTTGAAATACATTTTAAAAATATGAATTAGAAATAAAATTTAAGATAAATACATCTCTTCCTACTCTACCATTTCTGTGGCTTAAAATAGTATGCTTCTTTTTAAAGGTATCTTATTTTAATCATAATGCTGAGAAAACTACCACCTGCTGTTCTAATATCTAATTTAGTAAATAGCTCAAGCAAAATCCATACAGTAGTTACGATTACTCTACAGAGAAAATCCATCAGTTGGATTAATTTACCAGTGCCAAATTATATACACTCCAAATGATTTAACTTCCTTTTCAAATGCTTATTCATAAATAATGCTCCTAAAATAGACTGTAATTCATACAAAACAATTGTAATATACTCAACTAAACGCAATCTAATAAGCAACACACAAAAGAAGTGATGGGACAAATAATTTTGGAAATAAAACATGGTTAAAACTAAACTATTAGAGAAAGAAGAGAACCAAAAGACATACTATTTGTGTTATTCTCCACCCACTTATTGATGTAGTTGGCCACAGCTATATTTTGACTGAAGTCTACATGATTTACTTCTGCATTAAAGTATTTTTTCAGCATTTGCAAAAACTCATCATTGACATGAAAACCATTTTGCACAAAGAGGGAATTGGCGATTTTCATCACATACTGGCTCTCTTCCACAGTCACCATGTTAGAAAACTCCTTCAAGAAAGTAAATTCTTCACCTGCAAGATGAGAAAAGGTAAGTCCATTAGTGAAACAAACATGGTGAAAGATCAAGGCGAACTGTAGAGCATTACAACACAGAATACAATTATATTTTAAGAAAGATAATAGGACAGAGGCTCAAGGGAAAAATGCCATGCTTATTCCCCCACATAAGCCTCGAAAGAAGGTTCCAATACTTGTCCTATTTTTAGAAGTTCAAATTAACTTTTTCAGCTTATTTATACCAAGTCATACTATTTCTAATTTTAATTATAATATTGCTGTTGTTGTCAGGTGCTGTCAGTTCCAACTCATAGCAACGCTATATGTAACAGAATGAAACACTGTCCAGTCCTATGCCATCCTCACAATCACTGCTATGTTTGAGCCCATTGTTTCAGCCATCGTGTCAATCCATCTTGTTGAGGGTCTTCCTCTTTTTTGCTGACCCTTTACTTTACCAAGCATGATGTCCTTCTCCAGGGACTGGTCCCTGCTGATAACGTGTCCAAAGTACGTGAGACAAAGTCTCGCCATCCTTGCTTCTATGGAGCATTCTGGCTGTACTTCTTCCAAGATAGGTTTGTTCGTTCTTCTGGCAGTCCATGATATATTCAATATTTTTCACAACACCATAATTCAAAGACATCAATTCTTTGGTCTTCCTTTATTCATTGTCTGGCTTTCACATGTTTAGGAGGCAATTGAAAATACTACGGCTTGGGTCAAGCGCACCTTAGTCCTCAAAGTGACATCTTTGCGTTTGAACACTTTAAAAAGATCTTTTGCAGCAGATGTGCCCAATGCAATGTGTCATTTGATTTCTTGACTGCTGCTTCCATGGGCTTTGATTGTGGGTCCAAGTAAAATGAAATCCTTGACAACTTCAGACCTTTCTCTGTTTATCAGGATGTTGATTATTGGTCCAGTTGTGAGGATTTTTGTTTTCTTTATGTTGAGGTGTAATCCATACTGAAGGCTGTTGTCTTTGATCTTCATCAGTAAGTGCTTCAAGTTCACTTCACTTCAGCAAGCAAGGTTATGTCATCTGCATATCACAGGTTGTTAATGAATCTTCCTTCAATTCTATGCCCTGTTCTTCTTCATATAGTCCAGCTTCTAGAATTATTTGCTCAGCATACAGACTGAATAAGTATGGTGAAAGGATACAACCCTGACACATACCTTTCCTGATTTTAAACCACTCAGTATCCCCTTATTCTGTTCAAATGACCGCCTCTTGCTCTATACACAAGTTCTGCATAAGCACAATTACCTTGCTAGAATCTACAAAGTAGATACTTTTTTGGTTGTTGTTTTCTTTCAAAGTATTCAGGTTACTTTTACTATATTAGTATTATTTTATAATTACCAGTTTAATTTTCCAGTTTAAAAATCAAGATATTCCTGTAAATTTCAGCCTCAATGGACTTTTACTTTATTTTACCTTATAACTAGAACATTAATTAGAAATTGTTTTAATTCTTAACTTTTTTATGAGTTAATTCACATGTATGTTAAAGGCATTAAGATAGAAATCATACATCATGTTAAAGTGATTACCAAATAGTTTTTCTTTAGAAAATTTCCCAAATGTATAAATTTCAATAATAATAAAACATTTCATAAATTATTGAACACTATTTGAACAAAGAGGATACAGTTGATTTTAAGGAAAATTTATGATCTTCTTGGAGAATCATATTTCTTTTTTGTTACAGCACTCATCAGAGTTCTAATTCTTCAGTTATATGTGTGCTAGCTGATTAATATATGCCTCTCCCTCTAGATTAGAAACTCCATGAGGGTAAGAACCATGGTTGCTTTTGTTTATCAGGGTGGTGTTCATTTAAATTAAAAAAAAAAATGAAGTAATTTCCTTAGATTCATTCAGCCAGGGATAGAATCGAGAATTCATAGCTTTCTTGGGTTTCCTAACCCCTTCTCCTAGCCCTACCATCTCAATGAGATAATTTTCTTACCAGGTGTAAGTATTGCTGCCTCTGGCATGAGACACCCACATAACTGAGTTTAAATTTTAGTCAAGTCATGCTGAGAAATCAAACCTAATCATACTTACCATTTTTCAGGCTATCATACCCCATTGAATGGCGGATTTCTTTCAGGGTAGACCCCTGGGCTCCAAGTTCCACCATTCCCATTGCAAGAGCAATGCTCAACGGAGAGAAGAGAATATTTTCATCTTCCCCAGTGGCTCGAAGTTGGTTATACATATTCACTGACAACTCAGCAATGGTTTCATCAGGGAAAGTGGCCCCTAAAGCCATACTTTGCAGAACCAGCAGAGAGAAGAGTCCAAGGAGAGCCATGTTGGAACAGTTTTAAGTCTACAAAACAATAATTTACATATTAATTATTAATTATCTCAGAGAAATAAAGTGAAAGGTAAATATCAAGAATTATTTTTGGCAAAGCTGCAAAGCAAAGCAAACCAAAGGTTTTCAAACATATACGGTATTAACATTTCTGTAACAAAAGCCCCATTAAAAGATATGTTGGAAAGTTCTATTTAAAAAAAATCAGTTAATAGTCAAAACAATAACAAATTCTGAGGATACTGCCAGGAACAAGATAGCCATGGTCCCCACCCTTATGGGGTTAAGAGCATGTATAGACACATATACAACAAGTAATAATAAATCACGTTTGGTCAGCTAATTTATCAATTTTTCATAACCTCACCAAATATATTTTGGTCATGATTTGGAACAAACTTAGCTTCCACTAAACTACATAGGTTCAGGATAACTATAATGAATATCAGAAGATATTTATGGGGCTTAAGACGAACTAGTGAATTTCGGCATTTGAAACATGCTGTTTTATCCATTAATTTCAATTTATAAAATTAATGCCCCTTGCAGCTGGGTTACCAGCTGGTGGGAAGAGATCATATACACACACATGCCACAGGTTCCAATTTATCCAGCCCAGACTACAGAACTCACAAGCAGTGGTGACCCAGAGGAGGAGCAGATTCAGCACATTCTTGTGGATGTTCCCATACGTGGTGGTTCCCTATGAGGCTGCTGCTCCTGGGGAAAACCTCTGGGTAGGAGTTGAGAGTGAAGCTGAATTCTGGCTACAGCACTGTCCTTTTATACTCAGGTTTATATTACCATTCTAGCAACAAACTGGTAATTACAAGAATATTCCTAAATATCAGACTCATCTGGCTCTTGAACCAAACTGAATGGCAACAAAGCCTCATTTTCTCTTGGGAGGAGAAGGCAGTGTCAGTGCCTAGATATTTCTGAATAATAATATTTCTTCCTCTCAGCATGCCAATATTCCAGAAGCCCTATCTCCGCACAAACAGCTTGACTGGCGGACGGTGGTGACAAGGTTTCCTCTTTTCCTTGTATTCTTGCACTTTGTCACGGCAGGCCTGGAAAGTTAAACTGTCTATTTAAACAATTAAGGAACTCACATGTTCTTGATCTTTTCAAAAAAAAAAAAAAAAAAAACATTGAAACAACTTGCAAAGTGATATTAAGCAAATGCATTTGGACAATTGTATTTTAATTAGGAGCATACAGTAACAGTCCATTACTCAATTAACATAGTGCATACACATTTAACTGACGAGCAGTGCATTTCCAACAGGCTTTTGAATCAGAAAGTTCCAATCAGTCCTGTGATACTTGTAATGTCAGTTTCAGGGAACTGCAGAAGAATCAATTTTTCATCTGCGAAGTGCTAAGGTTTTTTTTTTTCCTTTCACTTTTGTAAAGAATTCTCAATTTATGACATTATGGCTTGGCCTATATGTAAATACGCACTTTCACAAGCGGAGTTGTGAGGAGGCAAAGGACAGCTGCTAGCGGGAGACCAAGTGTACCACCGCAGAACAGTGTCTGTTGTGCGTGCAGCATTGGGACAGGAGCCAGGTGCTGAGGGCACAGCGGCCTGGAAAGTCTACCGACTTTGGCCACTGTTGGGACGTTGCTGCTGCTGTGTCATTCTCACTTTCTCATATATGCTCCAGGCTAGTTGGAGCAGAGAACTCCAGGAAAAGGTGGAAGTCTAAGAGATAGAGCTTTCTCTCTCTAGATTCAGGAGGAAATTTAGCTGTTACTTTTTTATGTTGAAAGGGAACATAAGAGATATTCAGTATTTGATATTTAGGAAGCGATACTATTTAGTGGAATTTAAATCCAAGTCAGATTCATAGCCCATGCTCTTACTTGCTGTACTACACTGATGGCTGACATACCATCTAACTTCTACCCTACAAAAACCCAAACGTGAGCCTCACTGCTTTCATTTAATGTTATCTAATATAAGACCAAGAAATTAAATTCACCATACAATAGATGTATCTGTCAGTCAACAGCATAACTAAATGGACTAATTGCAAACGACTGCATTTAACAGGAGTATCAAATTTCAGGCTAATAAAAAGATTTCATTCATATAAAACAAAAATTGACCTATTGCTAACCAATAAGCCTTCCAGAAGACAAAACTAAGACTATTATGCTCATTCTGTCCCATTGCCATCAAGTTGATTCCAACTCATGGCGACCCCACGCATTACAAAGTAGAACTTCTCCATAGGGTTTTCTTGGTTGTAACCTTTACAGAAGCAAATTACCAGGCCTTTCTTCTGTGGCACTGCTGGGTGGGTTTGAACTGCCAACCTTTAGGTTAACAACTGATCGCAAACCACTTGGGCCATCCAGGAGCCTATTATGTTCATATGCATTTTTATTTTTATTTACAATGAATGCACCTTTAGACAATAATGATAGCTAACATTTGCTGAGTTCTCATAAGGACTGCCTTATTTAAACTTTGCAACAACCTGGCAAATAGGAACTTTTATTGCCCCCAATTTATAAATGGTCACATAGTAAGTGCTAGAGCCAGGACTGGAACACAGGTCATCTGCACAGGTCCTTAACCACTAAGATAAACTGCCTCTCTAGTCCTTGGATAAAGTGGGAAGATATGAAACTTGCAGATTAAAAGCTTGGATCAATTCCCAGGTCTGATGTTTAAATGTGTGTTACCTTCGGCAAGTCACAGGCATTCTCTCAGCTTTACCTACCTCATTTGTGAAATAAGGATACTAATCCCTATTCCCCAAGATGATTAAAGAATTAAATGAGATAGGGTATGTGAAGCTCTCATTTTAAGCTATAAGATATACTAAAAAAGGACACTGTTATCAAAGAATATCAATGTATGTTTCCTAGGTATGTCTATTTTCTTAATCAAACAAGAGGCTACAGAGCCAAAATGAGTATTTTATGTTTCCTGTTGGTCCATGTAACATACCACCACTAGCTATTCATTCAGCCAAGATTGATTGAGGTACCATGAAGATACCAAAATATATGACAGGCCCTTGTCCTCAAGGAACTCACATTATTATGTAAGAGTGTATGATCTATAATAGTGGCTCTTATCTTTTTAAGAAAAGAATCCTTTTAAGAATCAGGAGAAGGGTAAATCATCCCTTCAGAAAAACGTACTGTACTTACATGGATCACAGAGCCCTGGTAGCACAGTGGTTAAGTGTTTGACTGCTAACCAAAAGGTCAGCAGTTCAGATCCACCACCCGCTCCTTGGAAACCATAGGGGGCCGTTCTACTCTGTCCTATAGGATTGCTGTGAGTCGGAATCAACTTGATGGCAATTTTTTTTTTTTTTTTTAACATGAATCATAGAAAATTACATTCACTGGTCAGGATAATGACTGACCTCACATTAAGAACACTTGGTCTACAGCAGATGGTACAGATGCAGAAAGAAGTAGAGTCCCTGATGGACCCGCAACTCTGCAGGGTTCCCTTACTGGGGGAAACCAATAAGTGCTTGCCTTTGAGTCGATTCTGACTCATGGCAACTCCATGTTTGTCAGGGTAGAACTGTGCTCCATAGGGTTTTCAATGGCTGATTTTTCAGAATTAGATTGCCAGGCCGTTCTTCAGTTAGTAGCTGAGCATGTTAACCGGTTGCAAAGCCCAAGGACTCCTACTGGGGGAAACAGATGTCAAAATCACTAATGCATCCTTAGGCTTCTAAAGGACTCCTGAAAGGAGAACCCATATGTTTGTGGGAGAGAACTCTTTCTACGGCATCGAAAAATAGACCACAGATTACAAGTTCTGCTAGGAAATTAGGAGCAGTGTGGCTGTGAATGAGACTCTGGGTAGTGTAAATGGTTAATGTGTTCAGCTGCAGACCAAAAGGTTGGAGGTTCAAGTCTACCCAGAGGCACCTGGTGAGCTACTTCCAAAAAATCAGCCATTGAAAACTCTGTGGAGCACATTTCTACTCTGATGCACATAGGGCCACCATAAGTCAAAATCAACACCATGGCAACTGGTTTTGGTCTGGTGACTGTGAATAGTGGGAGCAGGCCATGTCAAGAAACAGCTTCGTAAAGATTTAAAGAACTCTGCTCTAGAAATACACGCACTTAACCATAGGAAAGTGATCTTTCCTTTTTGAAGGCAAAATTTCCAGTCTGCAAGCAAAATGACTTCTGCTTGCCTGGTCCAGCCTTTCGATCGCCAGCCTCCCTTCCCCAACCCCACTTCATCTCTGCTGTCCCTGACTACTCCTTCTAAGAGTTTTTTTCTCTGTGGGGGGGTATCTGGGGAAAAAAGAGCAGGGGGGATGATTTACTTTCTCCCTTCTATCTTCTAGGTATAGACGTTCTCCACCAATCTATTCTTGGCCCTCCTCCCTTCTCTGTAATATTCTTCACACTCCTGTTGGTGAACTCCTCTCAAAACAAAAATACTTCAACTATTATTCCCATTAAAATTATTCCCAAATAAGAAAATTCTAGCTCTGGCTTTATTTTCATCTTAATTTCTGATGTGCACAGCTAATTCTTCTTGGGATGTTTAGTCTCTGACTTAAAATTCAAGCACTTCAAATTCAAGGTGGCTCAAACATAAATCCTTGACTTATCTCTGAAATCTACTCTTTACTTAAAACATCAAAATCTTTGACTCCTCTCCACCTCTTTTCCCTTTAAGTTCAACAAACTGCCATCACTTATTGCATTCTGTCTTTCCAGCATCTCTCCCATCCATCATTCCATTCCCATTCCAACAGCCACAACTGCAGCTCTCCCTCTCAGTGCATTCTCAAGGAGGGCTGCCCACAGCTCCCAGCCATTCTGTGAAGCCCTGGTTACTTCCCTCTTCAATCCAATTCATATGCAGCCTCCAGATGAATTGTCTTGACCAGCTTCATCACATATTTACAAAACCCTAGGAGCTCCCTAATGCATACAGAATAAAGCCTGAACTTGTTAGTCTTGAACACAACCCTCTGCATATGACTGAGCAAAACATGCTCTCC